GCGTATAAATGGGTAAAAATGAGCGCTTTTCCCCCAGCAGCTGTACACTCAAGGCAACCCAACAGAAATTCATCAAATCAGAAATAATAGTGCAGCGCTAATAGTGGTACCGTATATACTCGAGTATAAGCCGAGTTTTTCAGCCCATTTTTTGTGCTGAAAAACGGCCCCCTAGGCTTAATTCAACGTCTGCAGGGGCCCATATCTCTAATTCATCCCCCCATAGTAATTCATCCCCCATAGTAATTCATCCTGCCCTTATAGTAATTCATTCGTCCACTATAGTATTTCATCCCCCATAGTAATTCGGCTCCCCTTATAGTAATTCATCCCCCATATAGTAATTCATCCCCCATATAGTAATTCATCCCCCATAGTAATTCATCCCCCAATAGTAATTCATCCCCCATAGTAATTCGGATCCCCCGCGAAAATTGAGTGAAGGAGATGCCCCAGGTAAGTTCAGGTAAGTGTGCTATTAGTGCTGCTGCAACCACATATGCTGATTGCAGCAGCACCGTACTGGAACAGGGGTCAGCAAGTGTCCCATAGTGGGAGGAATAGTGCCCCATCATAGGTGTCACTTCATACCAATGATGGGGCATTATTCCCCACTGACACCAACGTGAGGCACTTTTCCTCCCCCATGACACCAATGATTGGGCACTATTCCATCCCCCCCCACTGTACCATTCATGGGGCACTATTCCCCAAGTCCCCCCTGTGACACCAATCATGGAGCACTATTCCACCTCCCGCGTGACACCAATCATGGTACTATTCCCCCGCCCACTGACAGCATGAAAATGGGGTCACTTTTCCTCTGTCCCCCTGACACCACGTATCTATTCCTCCACATGTGCCAGTTTCAGGCATTAGCACCAGTCGATCGGCGATCTCCTCCACTGACACAATACGTCGAGGGGGACACTATTCCTCATAGGAGACAATGATTTTCATGCTACACCGGTCCAAAGATGGGGTGCCATTCCGCCCCTGAGGCCGGATTAAAAGGGCACTCCCTCCGGACACCAATGATGGGGCACTATTCCTCCCATGCTGTCCAATGATGGGGTTCCTCCACAGACTGATACCAAGCTTTTAGGCAGCAACGTTTCCTCCCACTGACACCAAAAAAAAAAAAAAAAAAAACGGGGCCAGGGTAACCAATGGAGCAGCACCGTTTTGATTCCTCCCACTGAAGCCAATGATGAATGCACTAAATCCTCTAAGAGCGTGATACCAATGATGGGCACTAATTAATTTCCCACTGGCCCAGAAAAATGGGGCACTATTCATTCTGATCATGATGGGGCACTAATTAACCTCCCCTGACAGCAATGATGGGGCACTATTCCTCCCGTGAAAGCGTTAGATGGGCCACTATTCCTCCCACTGACGTCAATGATGGGGCACTTTCCTCCCACTGACACCAATGATGAGGCACGACTTCTTCCCACTGGTAGTTCCCACCCTCGTGTATAAATGAGTCAATGAGCGTTTTTCCAATAAGCAGCTGGTACACTAGGCAACCAACTCAGAAATTATTATTCGGGTCGGCTTAATACTCGCGCTATATACGGTAACTAAAAATCGTGCGGAGAAATCTAGATAGACGATAAATATTAACAACTGGACAATGGGATAAAGACTGATGAATATAGAGAAGATATTATGCCAAATTAGTGCAAATAATCATATGTAGATAACAAATATATTTCCAATAATAAAAATAGATATAAATAAATATACAAATATCCGCAGAGGTGGCTAAAAATTATGGAAAAAAAGTCCCCACAACTTCAAACCGGTGCTTGTGCCTTGCATTAATATGAGAAATGCGCACTCACCAGAAGTGCACTATTAATGTGCATTATATATTATATCCTCGTGTCAACAGGTAGTCATCTGGGCCAGTAGATGGAACAGGCTCCCTCTCAGGATGGCTAGAGTCCATAATTTTTAGTCACCTCTGCGGATATTTGTATATTTATTTATTTATATCTATTTTTATTATTGGAAGTATATTTGTTATCCTACATATGATTACTTGCACTAATTTGGCATAATATCTTCTCTATATTCATCAGTCTTTTATCCCGTTGTCCAGTTGTTAATATTTATCGTCTATCTAGATTTCTCCACCTGATGTTTAATTACCACTATTAGCCCTGCACTATTTATTTCTGCTTCTAGAAGAGTGGTTTGTTTGTGTTTTTTTTTTTAATAGGCCTACAATAATAACCAAAAATTTAAAAAGGTCTAAAAAATATGAGGCCTAAAAACTTTTTTTTTTTTTAAAAATTAAAAAATAATTTTTTTACTTTCTGCTAAAAAAAAAAAAAAAATCAAATTTCTTCATTAATTTAGGCCACAATGTATTCTGCTACATGTATTTGGTACAAAAAACCCCCCAAAGAAACCAATAAGTGTATATAGAGATTGTTTTGTTGTTTTGCGTGAAAGTTATAGCATTTTCATAAATATTAATGGTGATGATCAGCAACTTATAGTACTGAGGGCAATCTGACACTAACTGACACTTTGTGGGAACCAGTGACACGAATACAGTGATCAGTGCTAAAAATATACACTTTCACTGTACTAGGACACTGGCTGGAAAGGGGTTAAACATCTAGGGCGATCAAAGGGTTAAACGTGCACCTAACATGGTTATATGAGTACTGTGAGTTGCTTTCACTAAGCCCCCAGTCACACTGGATTCGAATTGGAATGCGATTTGCATGCCATGCGACTTGCAGATCGCATGTCAAGTCGCACCCTATTGTCCGCAATTACAGCAGTCATATTGGTGCGGTTCCGACTTGGTCTGAACCGTACCGATATCCAAAGTAGAACATGCGCTACTTTTGGTGCGATTTGCGTAGACATCCTTGTCAGATGTTTTGCAAATTGCAAATCGCACCTGAAATCAGCATTTCCTCCGACTTCGCTGTTAGTTGCGCGTAAGTTGCGCGATTTCAAAGTCGTATTTGGTGTGACAAGGGTGTAAGGGATGTGCTGGGTTTTTTTTTATCCTCTGCTTTGCACGGAAACAAAAAACAATACTTTCCCTTGATGACAGGAGACAGCTCTGTATTGTTTACATTGACAGAGCTCTGTTCTGTCTTCCTCGTCACAGATCAGTGGGTGCCAGCGGTCAATCATTGACCGCCACCTGCTGATCGGCTTGTGCTGTGTCTGATCAGAGCACAGCTGATGCACCGGCAGCGCACACGCGCCCCCCCCCCCACTCACGAGTGCCAGATCACGTACTAGATACGTGATCTGGCACAGGAGAGCCACTCTGCGGCCGCACTCCTACATGAGGTGGTCAGCAAGTGGTTAATCTTTGTTTTCACCCTTTTTTTTCATCCTTGGTTGCATGCTAATCTCCTTCAGCCACTTCCTGTCTCCATGCACTCCAGCGACAGCTGCATTACATTTTTCAGGGAGGACAACAGTGGACCACGCCTGTGTAACTGAAACAGCCAGGGTGACAACTCAAGAGCGCAATGTCAAGGCAGGGACAGAGCGTTGTCACCCTATAACAGGAAGTGCCTGGACAAAGACCTTCATGGAAGGATCCTCGGGCATAGAGCAAGCTAAACTCCAGGCCAATTAACTCCGCTGTCTTCAAACTTTTTTTGGCACCAGGGACCAGTTTCAAGGAAGGCAATTTTCAAGGGACTGGAGAGGGTAGGGTTGGATATTGTGCTAGATCAGGGGTCTCCAAACTATGACCCTACAGGTGTTGAGGAACTTCAACTCCCATGAGGCCTTGCAAGACTGACAGCCACAAACAAGACCTCCCAGAGGCATGATGGGACTTGTAGTACTTCAACAGCTGGAGGGCCATAGCTTGGCGTCCCCTGTGCTAGAACATAAGTAGTCATTGTCTCAATGCAGTCTGTGTGTCTCATTCATACTATGGCTGCGCTGCAACGTGCTGCGATATATTGCAGACATGCTGCATTTTATTGCAGCGCACCATGCTGAATTGCATGGCAATATACAGCAGTGCAGCAAATCGCACCGCTGTACATTGCCATGAATGAAGAGTACATTTTGTACACTTCAAATAAAGTTTGTACAAAAAAAAAGAAAAAGAAAAGGGGGAGCTGTGTGATGCGCCAAATTGCGTACCTCACTGCCCCCTACTGCAGTTGGAAACCGAAAGCTGCCAGAGCAGTTGAGCACTCCGGCAGCTCTCCGTTCCCATGTGAATTCCTGCTACGCGGATCAGTTCCCAGCAGGCCATGGACCGGTACCGATGCACAGCCCGGGGGTTGGGGACCTCTGGATTAACCTGTTCCCAATGGCCATACACATATATGCGGTGGTAGGACGGGGGGAGTTCTTAACGCCCACGTGTTGCACATTTGCATCCATGGGGGGGGGGGGTGCAATTCCGTGTTGAAGGCATGCTCACTTTTCATGAACAGCTCTCAGTCGTTGTTTTTGATTGGGCGCTCCTCACCATGCGTCCACTGTCAGTCAATTACATGATCTGGAAGCCCACCTTTGCCTCCAGGAGTTAAGACCCTCCTATGGGGCTGACAGGTGGTGGCAAGTGGTTAAAAAGGCAGTTCTGCCATCATAATACATCATTAAAATGATTTTTTTTTCATGCATGTAGGGTATCTATTTACGTTTGACTTGGTATCAGACTTGTACAGCAGAGCTCACACTGGGAGAGGGAGAAGCAGCACAAGCAGCTGCAGTGAAAGAAGCATGCGGGCAGGAGGAGAAAGCAGAGTGACCAATAGAAGAGCTCATTAGCCTGCTGCTTCTCCTTTCACTGTCCGGTCAAAGGGTGGGGAAGGGACCTGAAAGTGAAAGGGAAACTATAGTAGAGAAATATCAGAAATCCCTTCCCTGTCAGACAGGCTGTTCAGGACTGGATCGGGTTTAGAGTTCTGCTTTAACAGTCAACTATGTGCACAGTCCATCAAGTAACTGCAACTTTAGATTGAGCTTTTGATTGGTCAGTGTCTCACCTCGTGTGGTGGGTACATATCTCTGCATGACGGTGACATACAACTGAAGGGTGAGCTGCGGGGTGGAGCCGAGAAAAGCTTGAATGACAGCCGTACGCTTGAAGGCATTCCGATGCGTGGCCATTTTCCGCAGAGTGTGTCCCACCTCTCGTTCCTCTTCTTCAAACACCCCCCAGCTGCGGAGATGCTTTTTTCGGGAGATGCTCACATAGGGTTCCTCCTCACGACCCATCTGACAGTATATCATTAACGCCTCCACACACCTAGGGGGCGGCGGAACAGAAACATTTTTGTGTTAGTGAAAGACGGACATTAAGGCCTCAGCCACATGAGTGCTGTGAAGAACAATCAAAAGTGCAGTAAATGTGTCATAAATTGTGAATGAAAAATGTATGAACCACATATGAATATAAATCAGTGCAAGTTTTGTCACAGACTTCCTCAGGAGCCTCTGTGAGTCTGTGTCTGTGAGTACATGCCTCCTCAGTGTTTAATGACATCACCATGCTTATGCCCTACCCGTTGAATCAAGGACTTCCTCAGGAGCATCCACCCTGAGGAAGTTTGTGTGCACACATCCCCTCAGTGTAATGACATCCCCGTGCTTATGCCCTACCCTACGCGTTGCGTCACGGATTTCCTCAGGAGCATCCATCCTGAGAAAGTCTGTATGCACGCATCCCATCAGTTTAATGACATCACCGCACTCATGCCCTACCCTACGCGTTGTGTCACGGACTTCCTCAGGAGCATCCACCCTGAGGAAGTGTGTGCACACATCCCATTGGCCTAAAGCCATCGCTGTACTCATGCCCCACCCAACAAACTTACGGACTTCCTCAGGAGCATCCGGCCCTTAGGAAACCTGTGTGCATGCATTTTGTCAGGGTAATAATATCATAGTGCTTGTAGTCCCACCATTCACGTTTTGTTACAGACCTCCAAAAAAAAAAAAAAAAGGTATGTGATGAAAGGCAGTGTTAGGAACATGTGCATGGTGATGTCATCACGCTCAGAGGAAGCATGCCCATAGGCTTCCTAAGAGGCAGAGTCTCCTGAGGAAGTCTGGGAAGATAGTCATAGGGTGGAGCCATGAGCATGGTGAAGTCATCACACTCAAAAGAAGCATGCACAAACTTTGTCAGGGGTGGACTGTTCTTGAGGAAGTCTGTGACGAATGGCATAGGCCGGAGCCATGAGAATGGTGATGTCATCACACTCACAGGAAGTACAAACTTTGTCAGGGGTAGACTGCTTCTGGGGAAGTCTGTGACAAAAGGTATAGGGTGTGGCCATAAGAATGGTGATGTCATCACACTCACAGGAAGTATGCACAAACTTCATCAGGGGTGGACTGCTTCTGGGGAAGTCTGTGACAAAAGGTATAGGGTGTGGCCATAGTCAATGTCTAGGCTTCTGGTGTAATGGTATACCATTGGGGAGGAGCGGGGCTGCCTGCTCTCTGTTTGTGAATTGCTCCATATCTGGGAATTCCAACAGTTTTGCTTTAGGAATAATCCCCATAATGTGTCTAATATGTATACTTCCTATGACCACCAGCTCCATCTATTGGCCATAACGCATTAAGACGCAAAAAAAACAGGGGGAGTCAGGAGGGCACAGTACTGGGGGAGTCAGGAGGCACAGTACTGGGGGAGTCAGGAGGGCACAGAACAGGGGGAATCAGGAGGGCACAGTACATGCGTTTCAGTTGCTTTTTTCTGCATCCAAAACGCACAGAAAGTAGGTTATTTGGTTGTCCATGTCATTTCACATCAGCGCTTGCAGTTCCAGTGCATTCTGGTTGCAGGAAAAAAAAAAGTAGAACAGGCTGCATTATTTCTGCACAGAACTGTACTGGAACGCGCTAAAATGCATTCAAAACGCACTGGAAAGCACTAAAATGAATTAAAAAACGCACACGTCCCTATTTCAATTGAAGAAAAAGAGGGGAAAAAATGAAATGAAATGCATATAAAAAAAAAAAAACACACCGGAACGCATTAAAAACATGCATGTAAAAACGCACCCGGAACGCATCTGGACTACGTTTTTATAGTGTGAACCGGCCCTAACAGAGTCTCTTTAGAAAAAGCGTTTGGTCCTTAAAAGATGTCTTTCCATGCAGATGTTCTGGTCAACCCACGTCCACGGAGGAGGCCACAGAGACATGTCATTTGGGTGCTTTTATCATAAGACAGTTACAGTGGGGATCGAAAGTTTGGGCACCCCAGCTAAAAATTTGTATTAATGTGTATAAAGAAGCCAAGGAAAGATGGAAAAATCTCCAAAAGGCATCAAATTACAGATTAGACATTCTTATAATATGTCAACAAAAGTTAGATTTTATTTCCATCATTTACACTTTCAAAATAACAGAAAACAAAAAAATGGCGTCTGCAAAAGTTTGGGCACCCTGCAGAATTTATAGCATGCACTGCCCCCTTTGCCAAGCTGGGACCTGCCAGTGTCATGGATTGTTCTCAATCATCGTCTGGGAAGACCAGGTGATGTCAATCTCAAAGGTTTTAAATGCCCAGACTCATCTGACCTTGCCCCAACAATCAGCACCATGGGTTCTTCTAAGCAGTTGTCTAGAAAACTGAAACTGAAAATAGTTGACGCTCACAAAGCTGGAGAAGGCTATAAGAAGATAGCAAAGCGTTTTCAGATGTCAATATCCTCTGTTCGGAATGTAATTAAGAAATGGCAGTCATCAGGAACAGTGGAAGTTAAAGCAAGATCTGGAAGACCAAGAAAAATATCAGATAGAACAGCTCACAGGATTGTAAGAAAACAATTCAAAACCCACGTTTGACTGCACGATCCCTCCAGAAAGATCTGGCAGACACTGGAGTTGTGGTACACTATTCCACTATAAAGAGATACTTGTACAAATATGGTCTTCATGGAAGAGTCATCAGAAGAAAACCTCTTCTATGTCCTCACCACAAAAATCATCGTTTGAACTTTGCAAATGAACATATAGACAAGCCTGATGCATTTTGGAAACAAGTTCTGTGAACCGATGAGGTTAAAATTGAACTTTTTGGCCGGAATGAGCAAAGGTACGTTTGTAGAAGAAGGGGCACAGAATTTAATGAAAAGAACCTCTGTCCAACTGTGAAGCATGGGGTTGGATCAATCATGCTTTGGGGTTGTGTTGCAGCCAGTGGCACAGGGAACATCTCACGAGTAGAAGGAAACATGGATTCAATAAAATTTCAGCAAATTTTGGATGGTAACTTGATGCCATCTGTGAAAAAGCTGAAGTTAAAGAGAGGATGGCTTCTACAAATGGATAATGATCCTAAACACACCTCGAAATCCACGGGGGATTACATCAAGAGGCGTAAACTGAAGGTTTTGCCATGGCCTTCACAATCTCCTGACCTCAACATAATTGAAAATCTATGGATAGACCTTAAAAGAGCAGTGCGTGACAGACAGCCCAGAAATCTCAAACAACTGGAAGACTTTTGTAAGGAAGAATGGGCAAAGATACCTCAAACAAGAATTGAAAGACTCTTGGCTAGCTACAAAAAGCGTTTACAAGCTGTGATACTTGCCAAAGGGGGCAGTACAAGATATTAACTCTGCAGGGGGCCCAAACTTTTGCAGACGCCATTTTTTTGTTTTCTGTTATTTTGAAAGTGTAAATGATGGAAATAAAATCTAACTTTTGTTGACATATTATAAGAATGTCTAATCTGTAATTTGATGCCTTTTGGAGATTTTTCCATCTTTCCTTGGCTTCTTTATGCACATTAATACAAATTTTTAGCTGGGGTGCCCAAACTTTCGATCCCCGCTGTACTAGCAATCAGCCTATCATGACTCATCATTTTAGTTGCTGGGAACTGTCATTTCGCTTCTTTAACCCTTGGCCATCCAGGAGGCCTTAAAGCCTGTGTGACCATTCCAAATTTGAATGCTATAATAGGTACTGAGGGAGGGGCTGGGGGGGTCCATTAGATCTTTTGTTTGCCATTTGGTGGGCGGCTACATATGAAGAGCAGCGGGCCGCTGTCAGCCTGCCATAGGTTTATATAAGCCGAGCGGCTGATGCGATCCACATGCACCTGTCCTTCCGGCCTCAACAATCCGCCGATCCTCGCCAGCTGGAATTCGCTGTATGCGCCTAGACGGCCCTGTGAAGAAGGCCTTAGTCTGTGACTTTGATTAGACAGAAGCCGTTACAGTGACCCCCCCCCTACATACACTAAGCAGCAGGGCCGTCTTGGGCCCCTGGGCAAAGTATTGCACTGGGGACCCTACCAGCCTGCCCCAATTTATGTACCTACTCTCAAGAATGAAAGTATAAATATTTGATAAAACGAAACATCTATTTATTAGGACTTTCAATAAAATTGATTTTAAACATAAACCAAAAACTAACTAGGGCGCAGTACTGGGGGAGTCAGGAGGTTGCAGTACTGGGGGAGTCAGGAGGGGGAGTCAGCAGTACTGGGGGAGTCAGGAGGTTGCAGTACTGGGGGAGTCAGGAGGGCGCAGTACTGGGGGAGTCAGGAGGGCGCAGTACAGGGGAGTCAGGAGGGCGCAGTACTGGGGGGAGTCAGGAGGGCGCAGTACAGGGGGAGTCAGGAGGGCGCAGTACAGGGGAGTCAGGAGGGCGCAGTACAGGGGAGTCAGGAGGGCGCAGTACAGGGGGAGTCAGGAGGGGCGCAGTACTGGGGGGAGTCAGGAGGGCGCAGTACAGGGGGAGTCAGGAGGGCGCAGTACAGGGGGAGTCAGGAGGGCGCAGTACAGGGGGGGAGTCAGGAGGGGCAGTACTGGGGGGGAGTCAGGAGGGCGCAGTACAGGGGAGTCAGGAGGGCGCAGTACAGGGGAGTCAGGAGGGCGCAGTACAGGGGAGTCAGGAGGGCGCAGTACAGGGGGAGTCAGGAGGGCGCAGTACTGGGGGAGTCAGGAGGGCGCAGTACTGGGGGAGGGGAGGGAGGGCGCAGTACTGGGGGAGTCGGGAGGGCGCAGTACAGGGGGAGTCGGGAGGGCGCAGTACAGGGGGAGTCGGGAGGGCGCAGTACAGGGGGAGTCGGGAGGGCGCAGTACTGGGGGAGTCGGGAGGGCGCAGTACTGGGGAGTCGGGAGGGCGCAGTACAGGGGAGTCGGGAGGGCGCAGCACAGGGGGAGTCGGGAGGGCGCAGTACAGGGGGAGTCGGGAGGGCGCAGTACAGGGGGAGTCGGGAGGGCGCAGTACTGGGGGAGTCGGGAGGGCGCAGTACTGGGGGAGTCGGGAGGGCGCAGCACTGGGGGAGTCGGGAGGGCGCAGCACTGGGGGAGTCAGGAGGGCGCAGCACTGGGGGAGTCAGGAGGGCGCAGTACTGGGGGAGACAGGAGGGCGCAGTACTGGGGGAGTCAGGAGGGCGCAGTACTAGGGGAGTCAGGAGGGCGCAGTACAGATTCTGGGAGGCTGACCCGGCCATCTCAGGACAGCTTAGTAAAAAGTGTGACTGTCCTGGTAAATACAGACAGTTGGCAAGTAGGATGTAAGGCAAGAATATTATTGGGCCCCCTAGCACCTGGGGCCCTTGGACAGAGCCCATGCATTAAATCAACCCTGTTAAGCATGCAAAGGGGGCCTCTTCTGTACAGATCTGCTGCCAGAAGACAGGGATGGGGTGGAGAGCCCTCTGGTATTGTGTGTGCACCCTGTGTGCTCTGTGTATCAGGGTGTCCTCAATGGGGTGGAGAGCCCCTGGTATTGTGTGTGCTCTGTGTATCGGGGTGTCCTCAATGGGGTGGAGAGCCCTCTGGTATTGTGTGTGCACCCTGTGTGCTCTGTGTATCGGGGGTCCTCAATGGGGTGGAGAGCCCTCTGGTATTGTGTGTGCTCTGTGTATCGGGGTGTCCTCAATGGGGTGGAGAGCCCTCTGGTATTGTGTGTGCTCTGTGTATCGGGGTATTGTGTGTGCTCTGTGTATCGGGGTGTCCTCAATGGGGTGGAGAGCCCTCTGGTATTGTGTGTGCTCTGTGTATCGGGGTGTCCTCAATGGGGTGGAGAGCCCTCTGGTATTGTGTGTGCTCTGTGTATCGGGGTGTCCTCTATGGGGTGGAGAGCCCTCTGGTATTGTGTGTGCTCTGTGTATCGGGGTGTCCTCTATGGGGTGGAGAGCCCCCTGGTATTGTGTGTGCTCTGTGTATCGGGGTGTCCTCAATGGGGTGGAGAGCCCTCTGGTATTGTGTGTGTGCTCTGTGTATCGGGGTGTCCTCAATGGGGTGGAGAGCCCTCTGGTATTGTGTGTGCACTGTGTATCGGGGTGTCCTCTATGGGGTGGAGATCCCCCTGGTATTGTGTGTGCTCTGTGTATCGGGGTGTCCTCTATGGGGTGGAGAGCCCTCTGGTATTGTGTGTGCTCTGTGTATCGGGGTGTCCTCTATGGGGTGGAGAGCCCTCTGGTATTGTGTGTGCTCTGTGTATCGGGGTGTCCTCTATGGGGTGGAGAGCCCCCTGGTATTGTGTGTGCTCTGTGTATCGGGGTGTCCTCTATGGGGTGGAGAGCCCTCTGGTATTGTGTGTGCTCTGTGTATCGGGGTGTCCTCTATGGGGTGAGAGCCCTCTGGTATTGTGTGTGCTCTGTGTATCGGGGTGTCCTCTATGGGGTGGAGAGCCCCCTGGTATTGTGTGTGCTCTGTGTATCGGGGTGTCCTCTATGGGGTGGAGAGCCCCTGGTATTGTGTGTGTGCTCTGTGTATCGGGGTGTCCTCTATGGGGTGGAGAGCCCTCTGGTATTGTGTGTGCACCCTGTGTGCTCTGTGTATCAGGGAGTCCTCAATGGGGTGGAGAGCCCTCTGGTATTGTGTGTGCTCTGTGTATCGGGGTGTCCTCAATGGGGTGGAGAGCCCTCTGGTATTGTGTGTGCTCTGTGTATCGGGGTGTCCTCAATGGGGTGGAAAGCCCTCTGGTATTGTGTGTGCTCTGTGTATCGGGGTGTCCTCTATGAGGTGGAGAGCCCCCTGGTATTGTGTGTGCTCTGTGTGTATCGGGGTGTCCTCAATGGGGTGGAGAGCCCTCTGGTATTGTGTGTGCTCTGTGTATCGGGGTGTCCTCAATGGGGTGGAAAGCCCTCTGGTATTGTGTGTGCTCTGTGTATCGGGGTGTCCTCTATGGGGTGGAGATCCCCCTGGTATTGTGTGTGCTCTGTGTATCGGGGTGTCCTCTATGGGGTGGAGAGCCCCCTGGTATTGTGTGTGCTCTGTGTATCGGGGTGTCCTCTATGGGGTGGAGAGCCCTCTGGTATTGTGTGTGCTGCTCTCTCTGTGTGGGGGGCGGTGCGTGCTCTCTGTGGGGGGCGAAGCGTGCTGTGTGAGGGGCGGTGCGTGCTCTGTGTGGGGGGCGGTGCGTGCTCTCTCTGTGTGGGGGGCGGTGCGTGCTCTCTGTGAGGTGCGGTGTGTGCTCTCTGTGGGGGGCGGTGCGTGCTCTGTGTGGGGGGCGGTGCGTGCTCTGTGTGGGGGGCGGTGCGTGCTCTCTCTGTGTGGGGGGCGGTGCGTGCTCTCTGTGGGGTGCGGTGCGTGCTCTCTGTGGGGGGCGGTGCGTGCTCTCTGTGGGGGCGGTGCGTGCTGTGTGAGGGGCGGTGCGTGCTCTCTGTGGGGGCGGTACGTGCTCTCTCTGTGTGGGGGGCGGTGCGTGCTCTCTGTGGGGTGCGGTGCGTGCTCTCTGTGAGGTGCGATGCGTGCTCTCTGTGAGGGGCGGTGCGTGCTCTCTGTGGGGCGGTGCGTGCTCTCTCTGTGTGGGGGGCGGTGCGTGCTCTCTGTGGGGGGCGGTGCGTGCTCTCTCTGTGGGGGGGCGGTGCGTGCTCTCTGTGGGTGGCGGTGCGTGCTCTCTGTGAGGGGCGGTGCGTGCTCTCTGTGTGGGGGGCGGTGCGTGCTCTCTGTGAGGGGCGGTGCGTGCTCTCTGTGGGGGGCGGTGCGTGCTCTCTGTGAGGGGCGGTGCGTGCTCTCTGTGAGGGGCGGTGCGTGCTCTCTGTGAGGGGTCGGTACGTGCTCTCTCTGTGTGGGGGCGGTGCGTGCTCTCTGTGGGGGGCGGAGCGTGCTCTCTGTGAGGGGCGGTGCGTGCTCTCTGTGAGGGGCGGTGCGTGCTCTCTGTGAGGGGCGGTGCGTGCTCTCTGTGGGGGCGGTACGTGCGTGCTCTCTGTGAGGGGGGCGGTGCGTGCTCTCTGTGGGGGCGGTGCGTGCTCTCTGTGAGGGGTGGAGCGTGCTCTCTGTGAGGGGCGGTGCGTGCTCTCTGTGAGGGGCGGTGTGTGCTCTCTGTGAGGGGCGGTGCGTGCTCTCTGTGAGGGCGGTGCGTGCTCTCTGTGAGGGGCGGTGCGTGCTCTCTGTGAGGGGCGGTGAGTGCTCTCTGTGAGGGGCGGTGCGTGCTCTCTGTGAGGTGCGGTGCGTGCTCTCTGTGAGGGGCGGTGCGTGCTCTCTGTGGGGGGCGGTGCGTGCTCTCTCTGTGTGGGGGGCGGTGCGTGCTCTCTGTGAGGGGCGGTGCGTGCTCTCTGTGAGGGGCGGTGCGTGCTCTCTGTGAAGGGTGGAGCGTGCTCTCTGTGAGGGCGGTGCGTGCTCTCTGTGAGGTGCGGTGAGTGCTCTCTGTGAGGTGCGGTGCGTGCTCTCTGTGAGGGGCGGTGCGTGCTCTCTCTGTGTGGGGTCGGTGACGTGCTCTCTGTGTGGGGCGGTGCGTGCTCTCTGTGAGGGGGCGGGTGCGTGCTCTCTGTGAGTGGGCGGTGAGTGCTCTCTGTGTGGGGGGCGGTGCGTGCTCTCTGTGAGGGGCGGTGCGTGCTCTCTCTGTGTGGGGGGCGGTGCGTGCTCTCTCTGTGAGGGGCGGTGCGTGCTCTCTGTGTGGGTGGAGCGTTGCGTGCTCTCTGTGAGGGGCGGTGCGTGCTCTCTGTGAGGGGCGGTGCGTGCTCTCTGTGGGGGGCGGTGCGTGCTCTCTGTGAGGGGCGGTGCGTGCTCTCTGTGAGGTGCGGTGTGTGCTCTCGGAAGGGTGGAGCGTGCTCTGTGTGGGGGCGGTGCGTGCTCTCTGTGTGGGGGGTGTGTGCTCTCTGTGAGGTGGGATCTGTCTCTGTGGGGGCGGTGCGTGCTCTCTGTGGGGGGCGGTGCGTGCTCTCTGTGTGGGGGGCGGTGCGTGCTCTCTGTGAGGGGCGGTGCGTGCTCTCTGTGAGGGGCGGTGCGTGCTCTCTGTGTGGGGGGCGGTGCGTGCTCTCTGTGAGGGGCGGTGCGTGCTCTCTGTGAGGGGCGGTGTGTGCTTTCTGTGGGGGGCGGTGCGTGCTCTCTGGGGGGGCGGTGCGTGCTCTCTGTGGGGGGCGGTGCGTGCTCTCTGTGGGGGGCGGGGGCGTGCTCTGTGGGGGGCGGTGCGTGCTCTCTGTGGGGGGCGGTGTGTGCTCTCGGGGGGGGATCTGTGAGGGGGCCAGTGTGCGCTATATGGGTGATCTGTAGAAGGGGGGGTGTGCACACTGCGGGGGGGGGGGGTCGGCGGCTGTGTGCACTCTGTGTGTTTATGTGCTGGTGTATGAGGTAATGTACTCTGTGGGGCAATGGGGCCTTTGAAGCGGTGCTCCCTACCACTAGGAATGTTTTCTCTGTCTCCCGCCCCCCGCAGTACCTGATGATGGGTCCCAGCTGTAGCAGGTGCAGGAGCAGTACCAGCTGGCGATCCCCGCCCAGGTCCCGGTGGATGAAGCTCAGGGTGAGTTGGACCACGATGGAGGGGACCAGCATGAAGACGATAGTCAGAGCCATCCACACCTCGTCCTCCGACCGGCTGTACTCCGCCGACACCCAGCAGGCGGCCGCCGTCTCCGCGCAGAAGAGGACGGTGGAGAGGAGGATGATGACCGGGGGCCGGGACCGGACCGACACGAACTCCTCCGGGGACCTGCTAGCCTCATACGCGTCCTTGGCCATGGTCACAGCGATCAGACTACACACGCCCCGACATCTGACAGTTTGCATGGAGGAAGCACACCGCCCGTCATCGGCCGGGGGTCTCCTGAGGGACAGACGTGCAGGGGCCCCAACCTCCGCCCGTATCACAAGTCTACAGGCTCCTCCGCGGATGGATGGCGTAGGTGTGTCCCTCCGCTGGGTCCTAGAGTGCACCGATGACGGTTACCCCTTCCACCGGCCGGATCAGCTGTTCTATAGGAACGCAAATGTCTTTCTACAGTCCAGGAGTCCCCGGCTCCTCTCCTCAACTGTCATTCCTGAATTCACCTGTCCTCTCCTCAACCGTCACTGCTCATTTCTCCTGTCTCCATAAACTGGTCCCCATAAACTGACACTCCTCAGTTCTCCTGTCCCCTCAACCGTACCAGGGACATCTCATGGGGCCCCTACTGATCCCGGACCCTCGGGCAGTGCCCGAGTTTCCAAATGATCAGTCAGCCCCTAGTCACTCCTCAGTTTCTCCTGTCCCCTCCTCAACCTTCACTGCTCAGTTCTCCTGTCCCCTCCTCAACCGTCACTGCTCAGTTCTCCTGTCCCCTCCTCAACCGTCACTCCTCAGTTCTCCTGTCACTCCCCTCCTCAACCGTCACTCTCAGTTCTCCTGTCCCCTCCTCAACCGTCACTGCTCAGTTCCCCTGTCCCCTCCTCAACCGTCACTCTTCAGTTCTCCTGTCCCCTCCTCAACCGTCACTCCTCACCTGTCCTCAACCGTTCCCCTCCTCAACACCTGTCCCTGTCCCCTCCCTCAACCGTCCTCCTCAACCCTGTCACTCCTCACCGGTTCTCCCTGTTCCCCTTCACCTCAACCGTCACTCCTCAATTCACCTGTCCCCTCCTCAACCGTCACTCCTCAAATGCTCTCCCGTCCCTCAACTGTCACTCCTTAATTCACCTGTCCCCTCAACTCCTCATCCCCGTCCCTCAATCCTCCCATCCCCTCAACCGGCATTCCAAATTCTCCCGTACCTCCTCAACCATCACTCCTGAATTCTCCCAGCCCCCCCCCTCAACCCTGCATTCTCCTGTCCCCTCCTCAACCATCACTCCTCAATTCCCCCACCCCCTGTTCAACCGTCACTCCTGCAATCTTCCATCCCCTCCTCAACCATCACTCCTCAATTCTCCTGTCCCCTCCTCAACCATCAATTCCTCAATTTCCCCCGTCCCCTCCTCAACCGTCACTCCTCAATTCTCCCGTCCCCTCCTCAACCGTCACTCTTCAATTGTCCCGTCCCCTCCTCAACCGTCACTCCTCAATTCTCCGTCCCCTCCTCAACCATCACTCCTCAATTCAACCCTGTCCCCAACTCACTTCTCACCCGTCCTCCTGAACCATCATCCTCAATTCTCTGTCCCCTCCTCAACAGTCACTCAACTCAATTCTCCCATCCCCTCCTCAACCATCACTGCTCAATTCTCCCATCCCCTCCTCAACTGTCACTCCTCAATCCACTTGTCCCCTCCTCAACCATCACTCCTCAATTCTCCCGTCCCCTCCTCAACCATCACTCCTCAATTCTCCCATCCCCTCCTCAACTGTCACTCCTCAATCCACTTGTCCCCTCCTCAACCATCACTCCTCAAATCTCCCATCCCCCCCCCCCCCTCAACCGTCACTAATGCATTCTTCTGTCCTCTCTGCAACTATCACTCCTCTATTCTTCGGTCCCCTCCTCAACCGTCACTATTCCATTCTAGTATATTCCATATTTTCACAGCTCTCACTGTGAAGAAACCTTTCCATATTTGGAGACTTCATTTCTTTTCCTCCAGATGTAAAGAGCGCCCCCTTGTCCTCTGTGATGACCTCAGAGTGAATAACTCACCGAGTTCACTATATGAACCACTGATGTATTATACATGGAGATCATATCCCCCCCTTATGTATCATACATGGAGATCATATCCCCCTTATGTATTATACATGGAGATCATATCCCCCTTATGTATTATACATGGAGATCATATCCCCCCTTATGTATTATACATGGAGATCATATCCCCCCTTATGTATTATACATGGTGATCATATCCCCCCTTATGTATTATACATGGAGATCATATCCCCCCTTATGTATTATACATGGATCCCCCCCTTATGTATTATACATGGAGATCATATCCCCCCTTATGTATTATACATGGAGATCATATCCCCCCTTATGTATTATACATGGAGATCATATCCCCCCTTATGTATTATACATGGAGATCATATCCCCCCTTATGTATTATACATGGAGATCATATCCCCCCCTTATGTATTATACATGGAGATCATATCCCCCCTTATGTATTATACATGGAGATCATATCCCCCCTTATGTATTATTATACATGGAGATCATATCCCCCCCCTTATGTATTATACATGGAGATCATATCCCCCCTTATGTATTATACATGGAGATCATATCCCCCCTTATGTATTATACATGGAGATCATATCCCCCCCTTATGTATTATACATGGAGATCATATCCCCCCTTATGTATATACATGGAGATCATATCCCCCCTTATGTATTATACATGGAGATCATATCCCCCCTTATGTATTATACATGGAGATCATATCCCCCCCTTATGTATTATACATGGAGATCATATCCCCCCTTATGTATTATACATGGAGATCATATCCCCCCTTATGTATTATACATGGAGATCATATCCCCCCTTATGTATTATACATGGAGATCATATCCCCCCTTATGTATTATACATGGAGATCATATCCCCCCTTTATGTATTATATACATGGAGATCATATCCCCCCCTTATGTATTATACATGGAGATCATATCCCCCCTTATGTATTATACATGGAGATCATATCCCCCCTTTATGTATTATACATGGAGATCATATCCCCCCCTTATGTATTATACATGGAGATCATATCCCCCCTTATGTATTATACATGGAGATCATATCCCCATATCTTATGTATTATACATGGAGATCATATCCCCCCTTATGTATTATACATGGAGATCATATCCCCCCTTATGTATTATACATGGAGATCATATCCCCCCCCATATCCCCCCTTATGTATATTATACATGGAGATCATATCCCCCCTTATGTATTATACATGGAGATCATATCCCCCCTTATGTATTATACATGGAGATCATATCCCCCCTTATGTATTATACATGGAGATTATCCCCCTTATGTATTATACATGGAGATCATATCCCCCCTTATGTATTATACATGGAGATCATATCCCCCCTTATGTATTATACATGGAGATCATATCCCCCCTTATGTATTATACATGGAGATCATATCCCCCCCCTTATGTATTATACATGGAGATCATATCCCCCCCTTATGTATTATACATGGAGATCATATCCCCCCCTTATGTATTATACATGGAGATCATATCCCCCCTTATGTATTATACATGGTGATCATATCCCCCCTTATGTATTATACATGGAGATCATATCCCCCCTTATGTATTATACATGGAGATCATATCCCCCTTATGTATTATACATGGAGATCATATCCCCCCCTTATGTATTATACATGGAGATCATATCCCCCCTTATGTATTATACATGGAGATCATATCCCCCCTTATGTATTATACATGGAGATCATATCCCCCCCTTATGTATTATACATGGAGATCATATCCCCCCTTATGTATTATACATGGAGATCATATCCCCCCTTATGTATTATACATGGAGATCATATCCCCCCTTATGTATTATACATGGAGATCATATCCCCCCTTATGTATTATACATGGAGATCATATCCCCCCCTTATGTATTATACATGGAGATCATATCCCCCCCCTTATGTATTATACATGGAGATCATATCCCCCCTTATGTATTATACATGGAGATCATATCCCCCCTTATGTATTATACATGGAGATCATATCCCCCCTTATGTATTATACATGGAGATCATATCCCCCCTTATGTATTATACATGGAGATCATATCCCCCCTTATGTATTATACATGGAGATCATATCCCCCCTTATGTATTATACATGGAGATCATATCCCCCCTTTATACATGTATGTATTATACATGGAGATCATATCCCCCCTTATGTATTATACATGGAGATCATATCCCCCCTTATGTATTATACATGGAGATCATATCCCCCCTTATGTATTATACATGGAGATCATATCCCCCCTTATGTATTATACATGGAGATCATATCCCCCCCCTTATGTATTATACATGGAGATCATATCCCCCCTTATGTATTATACATGGAGATCATATCCCCCTTATGTATTATACATGGAGATCATATCCCCCCCCCTTATGTATTATACATGGAGATCATATCCCCCCCTTATGTATTATACATGGAGATCATATCCCCCCTTATGTATTATACATGGAGATCATATCCCCCCTTATGTATTATACATGGAGATCATATCCCCCTTATGTATTATACATGGAGTCATATCCCCCCTTATGTATTATACATGGAGATCATATCCCCCCTTATGTATTATACATGGAGATCCCCCCCTTATGTATTATACATGGAGATCATATCCCCCCCTTATGTATTATACATGGAGATCATATCCCCCCTTATGTATTATACATGGAGATCATATCCCCCCCTTATGTATTATACATGGAGATCATATCCCCCCTTATGTATTATACATGGAGATCATATATCCCCCCCCTTATGTATTATACATGGAGATCATATCCCCCCCCTTATGTATTATACATGGAGATCATATCCCCCCTTATGTATTATACATGGAGATCATATCCCCCCCCTTATGTATTATACATGGAGATCATATCCCCCCTTATGTATTATACATGGAGATCATATCCCCCCTTATGTATTATACATGGAGATCATATCCCCCCTTATGTATTATACATGGAGATCATATCCCCCCTTATGTATTTATACATGGAGATCAT